AAAGAAAGAAAGAAAGAAAGAAAGAAAGAAAGAAAGAAAGAAAGAAAAAAAACCCTATTCTAGCAAACGTTGCTTTTTAGTTCCTGAGTTTTGTTTTGTTTTTTATTTTGAGAGAGAGAGAGAGAGAGACAGAGCAACAGGGTAGGGGCAGAGATGGAGGGAGACAGAATGCCAAGCAGGCTCCATGCTGTCAGCACAGAGCATGATGCAGGGCTCAAACTCACAAACCATGAGATCATGACCTGAGCTGAAATCAAGAGTCGGACGCTTAACTGACAGCCACCCAGGCATCCCAGTTCCTCAGTTTCAAGCTACAATGCAAATTGCTTATGGTGAGAGTAAAATGTCTTCAGTAATTCTGTAATCATTCATGGAGGGGTCATCACACGACAGACCTGCAGAGGCCCTGGTAATAAAGAAAGGCCCTGGAGAACCCTCAATCTAGGGACAGACTTTTCCCTAAAGCATAGAACACTGTCCTAAGTGATCTGGAGAAGGAAACATTCAGCTTGGGGTCAGGAAAGGGGGTGAAAGCATCACAGAAGGGCTGACAATTCATCTGGGCTCTAGGGAGGAACAGTTTCAGGGAGAAAGCAGGGAAGACCATCCAGGAAGAGAAAAACATAAAAGCTCCGAAGCTTTAGAACACATGGCAGCTGGCGACTGGTGGAGAAAAGAGGCTGGAAAGGTGGATGGCAGGCACAGTGGGAGGGTGTGCTATTTAGGGATCGCTCTGGAATTTATCCTACTATGTAAGTTGGGGAGGGGGGGGGGGTCACTGGAGGTCCCAAGCAGGAGCGTAACATAATTCCAGAGGTGAAGAAACAGAGTTTGTGTCCCAGTCTATTTTAGGAAGACATTAATTTGTGAGAAGGAATTCTGATCATATCAGTGCACGCAGATCCTAGGGCAAGTCTAATGCACAAAGAGTCAAACTCTCCTAGCAACAGTGCTGTATACTCTGGAATGCCCCCTTTCCCATTACGTTACACATCTCTCTGTTGAGGACTGAGAAACGGGCAGAACTGCCATTGTTAGGGCTATTTTCTGTGTTAATGATGAACAATCTGTAGGATTAAAAAAATTTCTTTTTACCGTCCCCCTGGATCAGGTACTCCTACCTGTCTCCCACGAGTAAGTGGCGAGTGCTTATAAAAGCAAAGATGTAACTCTGATTCCTCAAATCCTGTTTTTGTTCTGTTCCAAGGCTGTTTGTCAGCCTCTGAAAACTGCATCAGCACAACAGAGAGCCAGTGGCCACCTGTGGAGGGCAAGCCAGCACAGGCATGCACCTGTGGCGGGGAGCTGCTGGCTCACAAGCCAGCAAAGGAACCGTGAGCCTCCAGCACCCCAGCCACAGACCTGTAATCAAAGTAATAACCTACTATAGGGCACGGGAGCAGAAGAACATCCACATCTGCCACCTACTTAGAATACATCTGTGTAACAGAGTTTGTAGGCACTTATAATGCATCACATCTTATCTGTCAAGAATCCATAAATAAGATTATTACCTAATAATCATCCCTCTGGATTATCAACTAATCCAGAGAGGAAAGAAAACTTACTCAAGATCTTGGTCAAAAAAGATGACGCTAGTGTTTAGACAGGGTTACTTTGAAATCTAGGCATAAAAGCACGTTTCAGGATGAATATATGAATAAAAGCAGCCTACCCCATACCTGTATGCGCACTTTGCATCAGCTGTTTTGGTTGTAATAGTAACGTGAGCCACGTGGCTGATGCTGGCCAAAGCCTAAGGAAGAAGAAAAAAATGGAATGAAAGAAAAACTCACTGCTGGGTCACCCACTGTCACCTCATTACCGAGAAAGGTGATCTAAATCTAAATTTCCCCTACCATTTTGTATTAACAAATGGCAACGATGAGCATTTTTTGCTCACTCACTTTCATGACCTGTAAAAAAAGGGATATCAAATTGAACTTGTGGCATATTACTAGAACAGGGGGAAAATACGTATTAGAAGTCCAAAAGGAAACACATCGTTTACTTTAAATCCAGTATAGCTAACACACAGTTCTTCGTTAATTTCAGGTGTACATTATAGCGACTCAACAATGACGTACATCACGATAAGCATACTCTTCATCCCTTTCACCTATTTCACCCGCCCCTCCCCCGCTTTTGGTAACCCCCCGTTTGTTTTCTACAGCTAAGAGTCTGTTGTTTGGTTTGTCTCTCTTTTTTTTCCCTTTGCTTGTTTGTTTTGTTTCTTAAGCTCCACGTACGAGTGGAATCATACGGTATGTCTTTCTATGACTCCTTTATTTCGCTTAGCATAATACACTCCCGCTCCATCCATGTCGTTGCAAAGAAGCACACCAGGGTACTAATGTGTCAGCAGCAAGTGCACTCAGGCAGAAGTGCAGGCATGCTTAATAATATTCTCAATAATTTGCCTCCCAACAATTTGAAAAGTTGCCTTCAGAAACGGGAGCACTGCAAGTAGATAATGTCGCATACTGGTACACAAAACTGTTTTCAAAACTTACGTGTTTAGAAATGTAAATTTAAGGTTATGAAATTGAGACACAACACATTTTTTGAAAGTGACCACTCCCCACCCCTCCCCTCAACCTTGTCACCAAGACTGGTTTCCTGGCTCACTGGGACCTGTTTCTCCTTTCTCAAGGGCATCACAGCACATAAAAACGCAACCAGCACTGCAACGGGGTCTGTGTGACAGCATCTCGGAAGACAGTGAACACGCAGCCTGTGGCAGGTTCGGTTCACTCACGAGGAACATGGCTCAGGCTCCCGAGATTACCAGGTCCTGGCTGGGTTTCCCTAGTTGACGTAACTGAGGTAATTTTCATCATGTCAGATGTAAACGATTTTGAGAGCTGCATCAGGCGGACACGAACTATATAGAGTGTGTAGCACAACAGTACATGATGCCAGAAAGACAGCATGCCACTGGCAGAGGTTCTGCTGCTTTAGGGGCTTTCGCACCAGAAAAGGAGCAGGAACAGACTCTGAAGTCAAACTGCCAGGGTTCGATCCCCCGCTCGTCGCGTTCTAGCTGTGTGCCCTGGCCATGTTTGTTTGTTTGTTTCTTTCCTTTCCTTTCCTTCTTTCTTCCCCCTTCCCCCTCCCTTGATTTTTTTTTAAGTAATCTGTACACCCAACGTGGGGCTGTCCTCATAACCCTGAGATCAAGAGTCACGCACTCCACCAACTGGGCCAGCCAGGCGCTCCTATTAATACTTCAGAAGGGTCGGTTTCCTCAGATGTAAAACAGGGTAGTAACAGAACCCAGTCTACAGAGCTACTGTCAAGAGTTAATGCATACAAAGTGCTGAGAACCAGGGAAAGAACACATAGAAATCCCTCATTAAATCCTCCTTGTTTTCAAAAAAAAAGTTTTTTTAATGTTTATTTTTGAGAGAGATGGGGGGAGGGGCAGAGAGAGAGGGAGACACAGTATCCAAATCAGGCTCTAGGCTCTGAGTTGTCAGCACAGAGCCCGATGTGGGGCTCGAACTCATGAACCATGAGCCGAAGTCAGATGCTTAACTGACTGAGCCACCCAGCGCCCCAATCTTCCCAGTTTTAATTACAGTAAAATAAAAGCCCAAAGATCTTCTCCAGCTAGGCTAAGGCTCCAGGAGGCCATGGGCTTAGGAACTGACGCAGGAAGTTGCAAAGCCACAACAGAGCTGCTTTCCTAGGACTTTACCAGAAGCACACTTAAAATCAGGGCTGCCTCAGGGTAAACAGTATGAAATTGCTTCTATCTGGAATAATTCGGGGCTCACTGTTAAGCCAGAGGGTGCTTGAGACCACCCCAGTGTGATATGAATTGCAATGACTAAGTCACAGCTGCCTTTTAATTTAAAAAATTTAAAGTAATATAGACACGTGATAAAAAATGGAAAGACTACAGAGTGGCCTAAAGGGAAAAGTAATTGGTTCCATCCCGTCTTTTACTCTCATTTGCCCAAAATAACTACTCCAATTTCTCTGGTACACTAAAGAAATGTCTCCAGAAAGGAACACAGCCTTGCCAACACTTTGATCTCAGTGCTGTGAGACCCGCTGGACCCCTGGCTTCTGACCTCCAGAACTGTAAGATAACAGATTTTTATTGTTTTAAGTCACTAAGAACATGGCAATTTTTGGAGGGCAAAAATAGGAAACTAACACAAACTATTTGAAAAGTACACATATTTTACCGATGAATGTTATTTCTATAAATTTACCGAGGCAGTGATTGAAAAAACCACATTGTATGTACATGAATATTCACCAAAGCATCAAACAGGAAAATGGTAAAAAGTATAAATGTTTAACAGGAAATCATTTAAAGAAACTACAGTACATTCATGTAAAAGAATAGAATATTAACTATTAAAAATTATACAGGCCTATATATATACTGGATGAAAAGATGTCCAACAGAGTATGGTCATAAAATTTTAAGATCCTATTTTGGTCTTAAAATGTTTTTATCTACTTTTTATAGTATATGCCTCTGATACATCATGTAATTTCACTCATAAATATTTCCATATATATCTTAAAAGACTCCGCCCAAAAACATGATGCTATTTTTTATACCCATAAAATCAACAATTTCTTCTCAATACTATGAAATAACCAATCTGTGCTCAATATCCGACACAGAATTTTTTTTTTTACGTTTTGCTCAAATCAAGATCCAACTAAGATTCATACATTGGAACTGGTTCGTATGCCTCTGTTTCTAAAAACAAAATTTTTTTTACTGTTTATTCATTTTTTGAGAGAGAGAGTGAGAGAGAGAGAGAGCAGGGGAGGGGCAGAGAGAGAGGGAGACACAGAATCTGAAGCAGGCTCCAGGCTCTGAGCTGCCAGCACAGAGCCCGACAATGGGCTCAACTCACAAACCCTGAGATCATGAACTGAGCCAAAGTTGGAGGCTTAACCGACCGAGCCACCCAGGCGCCCTGGTTCACGTGCTTCTTAAGCCTCTTTTAAATTACAGGTTCTTGCTCTCTCCTCCACTTTTCTTCCTTAATTTGTTGAAGGACACAAACAAGCCTTTTATCATGTAGTTTCCTAATTTTTGTATCATTTACCATGCTCCCTTGCCTCCTATATTTTCTCAATACTGGCACTTAATAAGTATTAATCAGATTCACATTTGATTATCTGACCAACAAAACTTTGTAGGTGGTGTTGCATTCTCCATCAAAAGATACCAAACATCCTGGTAGGAGGGGAGGAGGGGGCTGTATCTGTAGATAAAATAATTTTCAGTGTATTAAGTATTTATGAACAATCTTTGGTTTTAGAAAATTGAATTTAATTAAGATTTTTCAATTTGCATATATTTAACAAGTAGAAAGTATCATATCTTATTTACCTCTATGTTGAGAAATGGCAGAAATGTTATCACAGGAGAATATTTTACTCATTTCCTTAATATTTAGCTTACCTCACCCCGAAAGCCATAGGTAGAAATACTAGCTAAATCCTCAAAGGACTGCAGTTTACTTGTAGTGAACCTCTCACACACAATATCCAGATCTTCTTTCTAGAAGATACCAAAAAATAAGTAATAATTATGTTACTCATTTTTCCAAATCTTGAATTTCCCAACCTCTCACACACAATATCCAGATCTTCTTTCTAGAAGATACCAAAAAATAAGTAAATAATTATGTTACTCATTTTTCCAAATCTTGAATTTCCCTTTTCTTGACTGAATCCAAGAAGCAACCCCTCTTAGGAGAAGAGTTTTAATTTTTTTTTTTTCAACGTTTATTTATTTTTGGGATAGAGAGAGACAGAGCATGAACGGGGGAGGGGCAGAGAGAGAGGGAGACACAGAATCGGAAACAGGCTCCAGGCTCTGAGCCATCAGCCCAGAGCCTGACGCGGGGCTCGAACTCACGGACCGCGAGATCGTGACCTGGCTGAAGTCGGACGCTTAACCGACTGCGCCACCCAGGCGCCCCAGGAGAAGAGTTTTAAAATGAGCAGTAACTTTGTTACTTGGCATCCAGAGTGCTACACTGTCCCAGGGTCCCTTCTCATTCACTGGTTACATTTCTCATTTGCATTCGCTGGCTCCTTCTCGCCTCTGACAGCGGAGTAACCCAGGACTCCATCCTTGGACCTCTCTGCTGTCTACACTCACTCTCTTGATGAGTTCTCCCAGTCTCATGGATTTAAAAAAAATCATGATTATGAGAAAACTTTATTAAAAATCTACAGAACATTTAATTACAGTAAAATACACATAACAAAAGTTGCCATTTTAACAATATTTTTTTGAGAGAGAGAGAGGGAGAGAGGGAGAGAAGGAGAGAGAGAGAGAGAGAGAGAACATGCACATGGGAGGAGCAGAGAGAGGATCCCAAGCAGGCTCCATGCTGTCAGCACAGAGCCTGACACGGGGCTCAAACCCATGATCCCTGAGATCTTGACCTGACCTGAAACCAAGGGTTGGACGCTTAACGACTGAGCCACCCAGGTGCCCATTTTAACCATTCTTAAAAAAATTTTGGGGGCGCCTGGGTGGCTTGGTCGGTTAAGCGTCCGACTTCGGCTCAGGTCATGATCTCACGGTCCGTGAGTTCGAGCCCCGCGTCGGGCTCTGTGCTGACAGCATGGAGCCTGCTTGGGATCCTCTGTTTCAGATTCTGTGTCTCCCTCTCTCTCTGCCCCTCCCCTGTTCATGCTCTGTCTCTCTCTGTCTCAAAAATAAATAAACGTTAAAAAATAAATAAATAAAAAATAAATAAATAAGTAAATTTTTGTAATTGTTTTTAATTATTTTTGATTGGGGGAGGGGGGGAGGGCAGAGAGAGAGGGAGACAGAATCCAAAGCAGGCTCCAGGCTCTGAGCTGTCAGTGCAGAGCCAGACGTGGGGCTTGAACTCACAAACCATGACCCGAGCCGAAGTCGGAAAACCGACTGAGCCACCCAGGCGCCCCGGCCGTTTTAACCATTTTTACGTGTACAGTTCTGTGGCCTTGAGTACATTCGCACTGTTGTGCAACCACCCTCCATCCTCCCAAACTAAAACTCTATCCCCGCTAAACACTTCCTCTCCACCCACCCCTCCCAAGTCCCAGGCAACCACCATTCTACTGTCTATGAATGGGACTACTCTAGGAACCTCCTACAAGAGGAATCTTACAACATCTGTCCTCTTGTGACTGGCTTATTTCACTTGACATGTCGTCAAGGTTCATGCATGTTGCAGCACGTGTCTGAATTTCAATCCTTTGTAAGGCTGAATGATATTCCATTATATGTACACACCACATTTTTAAATCCACTCATCTGTGGATACTTGGGTAGCTCCTACCTCTGGGCTACTGTGAATACGCTATGAACATGGGGGTACAAATCTCTTCAAGACCTTGCTTTCAATTCTTTGGAGTATATACCTACAAATTCTATTGAATCATATGGTAAGTCTGTTTAATTTTTTTCAGGGACCACCATACTATTTTCCACAGTGGCTACACTATGTTACATTCCCACCAGCAAATGCACAAGAGTTCTAATTTCTCTATATCCTTTATAACACTTGTTATTTTATCTTATTGTTTTTATAATAGCCATCCTAATGGGTGTCAAATGGTATGTTATTACTGCTTTTATTTGTATTTCTCTAATGGCTTGGGGCATTCAGCACCTTTTCATGGGAGACTCATAGTTTTTAATACCATCAAACTGCAATACACTACATTTTCATCTCCAGCTGTTAAACCTCTACTCTACCCTCCAGACCCACACACTTATTCAACTAAGAGCCATCTTAAGTTTAACATGCTCCCAAACGAATTTGTGATCTTCCCCAAAATGTTTCTTCCATAGGCTTTCCCATCAGTAAACAGCAACTCTTTTTTCCATTTGCACAGGCCAAAACCTTGAAATCATTCTTTTCTTTTTTTTTAAGGTTTTATTTGTATTTATTTCAGGGGTTGCAGACACAGAGAGAGAGCAAGTCCCAAGCAGGCTCCATGCTGTCAGCACAGAGTCTGATGCGAGACTCAAACCCACGAACTATGAGCCGAAGTCAAGAGCTGGGCACTTAACCGACTGGGCCACCCAGGTGCCCCAGACCCTGAACCTTGGCTCCTCTTTCTCTTGTACCATACATCGGCAAATTCTGAGAGCTCTGTCTTCATAATCAATGCGGAATCTCACTGCAACCAAATTGGTCCAAGGCACGGTCACCACTCTCCTGGACTGCTCCGAAAGCCCTCTCACTGCCTCTGTCCTGTCCTGCTACTGTCTATCTTCCATATTCTAGACAAATGGGTTCTTACAAAACTCCAAACCATGTCACCTCTTTGCTCAAAACCACTCGATAGTATCCCACCTTGATCAGAGTAAAAGCCAAAGATGTTACAACGGCCCACAAGGTCCTACATGATCAGCCTTCTTATCTTTCAGATCTCATCTCCTGTCATTCTTTTTTTTTTTAAGTTTTTTTAATGTGTGTTTATTTTTGAAAGAGAGAGACAGAAACAGAGTGCAAGCATGGGAGGGGCAAAGAGAGAGGGAGACACAGAATCCGAAGCAGGCTCCAGGCTCCGAGCTGTCAGCACAGAGCCCGATGCGGAGCTCAAACTCACGAACCGCGAGATCATGACCCGAGCCCAAGTCGGTCGCTTCACTGACTGAGCCACCCAAGTGCCCCTCATTTCCTGTTATTCTTCAACTCCCTCGCCCTGTCAGAGACACACGGGCCTCCTTGCTGGTGCTTAAACAAGTCCAGCATGCTTCCATTTTGTGGTCTTTGCATGTTCTCTCTGCCCAGAACATTCATCCTTTAAATAGCCTCACGACTCTCTCCTGGACCATTTTCCTGAATAAGTGTCCAGCTTGGAATAGGCACTCAAAATATATTTATCATGGGTATTGAAAATCTCAGTTAAAAATCTCATCTGCAAAGCTGAGTTTCCCCAACAAGGAAAGGCTCTGCCCCTTCCTGCAGATGGACCCCACAAAGCACGCGCACAGCCCCCTCCTCTGAGGTTTTTACCTACCCGGATCCCAGTGCCATTGTCTTGGATCTGAATCAACTTGAGGCCTCCCTCTTTAACAACCACTTGGATGCTGGTGGCTTTTGCATCTAAGCTGGCAAATCAAACAGAAAAAAAAAAGTTATTATTCTGCCCTACTCTAATGAACCTATTTTAATCAGACAAGGTATGAGAACAAATTCCAGATAAACGCCAGACTGTCTGAGTGATGTGTTTTTCCTTTGTTTTACAGGCTCCATGACTACACTGTAAAGAGTTTACACGCTGTGTGAGAGAGGGAGAAGAGAGAGAAGGGGCAGGGGGCAAGCATCATTTCCATTAGGACATGCAGCACCATTTCTGGTCCTCTGGGAAAGAAAGTGAAGTTAAAAGTAGGATCCACATGCCTGTTTACCACATGCCTGTTTCTTACCTTCTTCTCAACTAATTTTGCCACTTATCCCTTCCACTTTATTCAGCCTTGGGTTCCCGAGGGCCCCTAATTAAATGTCATTAAAAAAAATCTATATAGGGACGCCTGGGTGGCTCAGTCGGTTAAGCGACCGACTTTGGCTCAGGTCATGATCTCGCAGTTTGTGAGTTCGAGGCCCGCATCAGGCTCTGTGCTGACAGCTCAGAGCCTGGAGCCTATTTCAGATTCTGTGTTTCCCCCTCTCTCTACCCCTCTCCTGCTCACACTCTGTGTCTCTCTGTCTCTCAATAATAAATAAATGTTAAAGAAAAAAATATATATATGTGTTTTTATGCTAATACCCTTTTAAGAAAATACATTTTGTTGGGGAAAAGAAAAAAAAAATGGCAATACAGAAAGTTCTCTGGGAAGCCAGTAAATCTTTGGTGCTCCCGAAGCGTAGCCAACAATCACAAAGAGCGCCAGCGGCAGAAAAGGAATTCAGTCCGCGGCTGCACGAGAAAGAAGGGTAATCTCGCACAGAAAATTCTTTTTTCAAAAATAATAAGTTACTTAAATATCAAAGACCTTTCTCAGGAGCGCCTGAATTGACGTGGTATTAGCCATCTTGACTTCCTATTAAAAAAGAGCACGACTGGGCTCCAAACAAAAGCCCTGCTCACAGGACTGATTATTAACCACTTAGCTCATATATTGGGTTTGGTTGTGCAGTATTGTGGCCTCCGGATGAGGCCCACGTCGTTCCATCAGTGAATATTCCAACACTGCAGAGACAAAAGGCGGCGTCACGTTAGGTGGAAGGAGAAAGTTGCCAGCCTCCCTGCTCCATCTTTTGTCTGCCTCCCAGCTCTGTCCCTTTCCCTCCTTTCTGCACGGTTTTTAGTCCCACGACCCCGAACGGCTGTCTTCCGTTTTCCCAATAAATCCCCTCACAAACCTACCGTTCTTTGCAGGCTCATTTTGTTCCTTTACTGTACGGATCTTATTGACATCAATTGATTTCAACACGCAGGTCACGTTTAGGTACCCCACGAGCGAGCCTTTTTGGAAGTTTATACTTTACCCCCACCTTTCCTTCCAGGTTTCTAACTTCTTCCGTCCACGTTTCTAACTTCTTCCTTCCACAAGGCGAAGGAAATTCCGAAACGTCAGAATCCTCGGGATACCCCGTTAACACCAGGTTGTCTTTGATGTGCTCCCCCACGGAGAGGTAAAGGGGAGGAAAACACTAAGTTGGGTCACTAACTCGGCAGTAGGGATATCACAAGTTAAACCCAGGCAGTGTCCATCGGCCTGTCCGAAAACCTCGACAATTTATTTGGAATAAAATTCAAAATGAACTGCACCCTGGACTGATTATTTTTGGAGCAAACATTACACGCATAACACGGTACTCTCTGGAGCATGAAGCGGGCTCCCCCTTCTGAAAATGCTTATGCATTTAAAATCTTGCACTTTCTGTATATAGAATATAAAAAGTCTTTCCCTCAACTAACGGCGCCATTAAAATACTATGTCGCCGCCGCTCGCGCCCCCAACAGCTCTACAGAAGCCTCGCGAGAGCTCTCAAGAACTCGCGGTACCCGGGAATTGAGGAGCAGGACACCCAGACCTCGGGCGCTGTGGGCGTGCGCCGTGCACGCCTCCGCCCACCGCAGGGAGGCGGGTCCGCGCCATCCCGAAGAACGGCCCGTTGAGTCGTAGCTTATAAGGAAGCCCGGCTCCACTCCCTCCCTACCAGTTCTCAATCATCTCCTTGATGGCGTTGGCCGGCCGCTGGATGACTTCCCCTGCCGCGATGCGGTTCACCACTGTTTCGTCCAGCCGCCGAATAACCCCCGCTACGAGCGACATTTTGGCGCCAGAAGAGCCCAAGACACGTCGAGATGCTCACCGGAAGTACCTTCGGCCAATCACCTCAGGGCTCCGTGCTGACGTCTTTCCATCAACTCTGTCTACGCTGCCCTGCCAGACCTTCCCGCGGCAGCGGCTTCGGAGCGAGGGAGCCGTTGATTGGGCAGCTGGGATGCCAGTCAAATTTCTTAAGTCCCCCGGTGCCCGGCTCACTTGGTCCCTCCCTAGCGCCCTTCAGGCCACTGGCTAGAAGGGTATGCGCCTGCGCGCTGTCCACTCTCCCATTGGCTCATTCCTGGGCTAGGGAATACGAAATCTCCAGCCAATAGGAGTGCAGGTGCCGTAGCCGGAGGTTGGTGTCCCCCTGCTGGGGTGATCTGGCGCAGAGCGGAGGAGGTGCTTGCTCCTGCTCCTGCTCCCGCTCCTCCCCTCTCCTTGCGGCCTCCCGGAGGTCGACCCTCTTCTTGCGGCCTGCAGTAGGATGTTTATGACGCCTAAGAGGAGCAAAATGGAAGTCGACGAGTCTCGGGTTTTCCGGGCCGAGTGGACCCAGCGTTACTTGGTGGTGGAGCCTCCGGAGGGCGAAGGGGCCCTGTGCCTGGTCTGTCGCCGCCTCGTCGTAGCCACCCGCGAACGCGATGTCAGGCGCCACTACGAGGCCGAGCACGACTACTACGAGCGGTATGTGGCGGAGGGCGAGCGCGCGGCCCTGGTGGAGCGTCTGCAGCAGGGCGACTTGCCCGTGGTCACCCCGCTCACTCCCGAGGAGAGAGCCGCCCGTGCAGGCCTCGGGCTCGCCCGCCTCTTGGCCTTGAAGGGTCGCGGCTGGGGTGAGGGGGACTTTGTGTACCAGTGCATGGAGGTGATGCTGAGGGATGTGCTGCCCGAACACGTAAGCGCTCTGGATGGCGTTGATTTATCGCCAGAGGTCACGCGGCAGAGGGTCCTCAACATTAACAAGAATCTACGCAGTCAGCTTTTTAACCGAGCCAAGGACTTTAAAGCCTATTCCCTTGCCTTGGACGACCAGGCCTTTGTGGCCTATGAGAACTACCTCCTGGTCTTTGTCCGTGGCGTGGGCCAGGACTTGGAGGTACAAGAAGAGCTTCTGACCATCATCAACCTGACTCGTCACTTCAGTGTTGGGGCCCTTATGGCGGCAATCCTCGAGGCCCTGCAGACGGCAGGGCTTAGCTTGCAGCGAATGGTTGGACTCACCACGACCCACACGCTGAGGATGATTGGTGAGAACTCAGGACTAGTGTCATACATGAGAGAAAAGGCTGTAAGCCCCAACTGTTGGAATGTTATCCATTATTCAGGATTTCTGCACTTGGAACTGTTGAGCTCCTACGATGTAGACGTTAACCAGATCATAAATACTATATCTGAATGGATAGTTTTGATTAAGACCAGAGGCGTTAGGCGCCCCGAATTTCAGGCTCTCCTCACTGAATCTGAATCAGAGCATGGCGAAAGGGTTAACGGACGGTGTCTGAACAATTGGCTTAGAAGAGGGAAAACTTTAAAACTGATATTTTCCCTGAGAAAAGAGATAGAAGCCTTCCTGGTTTCGATAGGGGCCACAACGGTCCATTTCACAGACAAGCAGTGGCTTTGTGACTTTGGCTTCTTGGTGGACATCATGGACCATCTTCGAGAACTCAGTGAACTGTTGAGAGTTAGTAAAGTCTTTGCTGCCGCTGCCTTTGACCATATCTGTACCTTTGAAGTTAAGCTGAGTTTACTGCAGAGACACATTGAAGAAAAAAACCTAACACACTTTGCGGCCTTCAGAGAAGTTGTCGATGAGCTTAAACAGCATCTTAAAGAAGAACAAAAAATATTTGATCCCGATAGGTATCAAGTGGTGATCTGTCGCCTGCAAAAAGAATTTGAGAGACATTTCAAGGACCTCAGGTTCATTAAAAAGGACTTGGAACTTTTTGCGAATCCTTTTAATTTTAAGCCTGAATATGCACCTATTTCAGTAAGAGTGGAGCTAACCAAACTTCAGGCAAATACTAACCTTTGGAATGAATACAGAGTCAAAGACCTAGGGCAGTTCTATGCTGGCTTGTCTGCCGAATCTTACCCAATTATCAAAGGGGTTGCCTGTAAGGTGGCATCCTTGTTTGATAGTAATGAAATCTGCGAAAAGGCTTTTTCGTATTTGACTCGAAACCAACATACTTTGAGCCAACCCTTGACAGACGAGCATCTCCACGCCCTGTTTAGGATTGCCACAACTGAAATAGAGCCGCATTGGGATGACCTTGTGAGAGGAAGAAATGAACCCAATCCATAGGCCTTGGTAGTACGACACTGAGACGCTCAGAGTCTGATTCTAAAAGCAAACCTTTGCCTGATTTTTCAAGTTAACTAATTTGGATTGTGGCAAAGCACCAAGTTTATGCATCCAAATTGATCACGATTCAGATTCTTCTGACAGAGGTGTTTTTGTTTTTGTTTTTGTTTTTTTTCATCTCAAGAGGCAGCATGGGACTGACACATGCAAACACCTTTTTTAAAATTTAATTTAATGACAATGTCATTGTCTTTTACTTTTATGATACGATTGTTTCTAAAGAAATTCAGTACTGATAATGCGAGTTGAATTAGAAGTCTGTTTTTCTGGTGTTTTGAAGAAGTTTTAGCTCTTCTTTTGAACAAAGTGTTAAAATTTTGATGCGTATGATCTGAAGTTATCAACCCCATAAATGTATGTTTGAGCCAGTTTGCAGAAACTCACATAGCAAGTTCAGAAGTTTCTGAAAAGGAAGAGCGTACATACGGTGGAGGTATTTTGTCTAACTATCAAAGTGTTTGTTTGAGACTATTTTTTTTTAAACATTTTTCTGAGTCCTAAGTAAATATTGACAGATTTCCTCCTCAACTCCCCCCCCCTCCCCCCGCAACCAGCCCTAGCAATGATTGGAGGGAAATAATCAAAATTTTAGTCAGAGGAGTAAGAATTATGTTTCAATTGCTGGTTTAGGAGGCTTCCTGCATTTTGGAGATCAGACTAACCAATTATTGGGGATTTCCCCTGAATTTTTCACACTTGGGTGCTGTTTTGTCAGCTTGCCTATTAAAGGACTACGGTAAGTATAGAATCTTAATGGTTGCCCGTTAGTAATTCTTTATTGTACTCCAGATAGAAGTTTGGCCCTGTCAAAAAAGGATGAGAGAATAAGATTTTTGCCCTCCAGGATCAGGAGGTGGGAGGTATTTTAGCTTATTATGCATGGGTGTTGACTGCTTCATAAAGAAACCCTGTTAACAGGAAACCCTTTAGTTTAAAGTGGTAAAGATCTCAGATCGTGTTAGCTGCTGGAAGTGGATTTATTATAGAATTTAAAACTGTCCCACTCGTTCTGTATTTAAGATAGTGCACAAGTAGAAATATTTAACTTTCAAGAAGCAGCTTTATTAACAGATTGTGGCAATTCCATATTTCTAGTGAGACATCTGCTTTGTGCTAAAACAGTTATTTTCAAACTTATGTTAACCGTGAAAAGAAAATCTTACAGTAAAGCCAAATATATAAAACGATTTAAAGGCAGGACCCAGCTTAGAGGTCCTCTCAAGTACAGTTTGCAAACTTGTGCTAAAGTCCTGTCTTAACCTTTGTAACACATTCTATGGTCACTAATCCAGCAAATTCATCGAACCAGGATACAACCAAGAATTTAGAAGGAATTGATGCCTGAGCAATCAAAATCGATGCCATAAAAGCCCAGGAACCAAAATTGTGTCACTGGTTCTCAACCAGAAGCAGTAACCCCTCTTTCCAGGGGTTGTTGGAAAGCATAGGGGACTTTTTTGGTTCTCAGACTCCCTGGGAGGGTTCTGCGGGCATTCCCCCTGCCCCCACAGTGCATAGGACAGCCAGGCACAATGGAGAATTATCCTTCGCAAAGTGCCAGTAGACAGCCCCCCCCCCCCATTGTAGATTATTTTATTTTGAGGGACAGGGCAAATTACCGGTAGAAGCAGAATGAAAGGGCAAATCTGGCAAACCGATGATATTTGATGGGAACTAATTCCAACATTCCAGGTTTGGCTGGTAAAGTGCGGTAAAGGCCTTCATAGGTTCTGGTAGCTCGCAATAGCATTTACATGTCAGTGATTTATACTGAACCAGATCAAAGGGCTCTATTCTGTTTAATTAGAGCAGAAAAGCAAGTATTTGCAAGCTAGTAATCAAGAATGGTCAAGTTGAGATTTTCGTTAACAGGGAATAAGCTTAAAATATCTGGAAAAACAGCAGTAAAAAAAAAAAAAAAAAAACC